ACCGGGATTTCCCGATGAAAAACTTCAATTAAGAAAGGGAATTTTTTGTGTGCTTGTACTGACCATAGGTCACCGGCGGTGACATGGGCGTTTAGCAACACCATTGGGCGCAGACGGTCCTAGTCACGAAAACATTTAATTCTATAGCAATTTGGCGAACAACATCTGACCGAAACAAAAACGTTTATCGTACAGACCATAAAGAGCGCTTCAAAACAAGGGTATTGTAGTGGTCCGTTAACTGACCATTGGTCAGCAAAACTGGAAAATAAAAGAAACGGTTTCTGCACGATGTACCAATGGGTGGATAACTGGGCACAACAAATGCAGCGATTATCACCATTCCAATTCTCAAAATAGCATTACTTTTCGTACAAGAAATCGCCGCCGAAAGTCTTTATCGGTTATCCCACGCTGAGCTGCTTTTACACTGCATGCATGGTGCATGATTGCACTTTTATGGATGCAGGCCGGTAGCCGCAGCGTTTGAATTAGAAATCAGCAAAGACGGTCCAGTAGTACGTGCGGTAGTGATGTACTAAAGTTCACATCAGCATTTCTGGAAACAGCAGCTGCCATCATGAACTCAGCATCGGCCGAATGTTATTAATACCTTTGCACCTGGCGCAAAGGTCACTACTGACTACCGGTCATGTGCTTACTGGAGTTGCTATCATCCACGGCTCAAGGAGACCGACGTATTTTTTTCCTGCACGCGGCACGCCTAAACCGCTGTAAGGTCCGATTCGTGTAAAATGCAGTAGATCGCACAAGACGCAAGCCAGGCTGCAGGGTTGTCATGCCGATTACAGTGGTAACGCACTATTGCAGACTGCCAAGGAAGGTTACCACGCCCGGTTATCTTGAAGGTTAGGTTGTCCAGAAACGGCCACCGATTCGTTCGTTTGAGGGCCATAGCCGACCGCCCAGGGTATCGCCCAACTAAATCGTTTTTGGAAGAGTTCCGGCAAGCAGGACCACGTGGAGCATGTTAGAGGGCCGAACCAACAAGACCTTATCCGATTTACATAATTATAAAAGTGTCGAAATTGCGCCCGCCCGTACTTCAGGACCATACATGCCCAATGGTGTCTCCACGCAACACAAGTTTTCAGTGGACTGTGGCCATCCACTGTTTAACTTTCAAAACCGACGCTTGTTATTTTCTAATAAAGCATTACTGATAGTACATTACTGAATTATCTCAGATTAATTAACTCAGTGACTAATTAGTTAATTAGCAGGACCTTCGGGAGGTCAGAAAGTTCGAAATTGGCGACTTTCGCGACCTCGTGGTTCTTGAGGGATTTAAGATTCCAGTGTGGTTTGTTTCTTTATTGCTGCTGTAAGGTCTCGTGACGCTAATTACGCTATTAGATATCGAATAATTGCTGTTGTTCATTAAGAAAAAGAATTTGAAGACCCTGTTGCGCCCCAACACCAATGGGCGTCAGTGGGTAAGTAAAATAAAAAACAAGTGATATTTATTTAAAATTTACAATAGTACGAACAAGAGTTAGATAGAATATGACCGCCAGCAACGCCTAAATCATTAGGAACAGCAAAATGCAATATATGTAATTGTACAGATTATGTACAAAATGCATTATCTGTACATATCTTGGTACCCTGCTAATTTGCTTAAAATCGTCGTATCGGCATCGGCATGAATGCTTCCGCCAGCCGGAAATGTGCTGTGGCAACAAGATGGTATCTGTAATTACCGTGTGGGCGATAATTCTTTATACAGATTAAATGTGTAGGAAGTCTCTGCGGTGTGCACGCCTGGAATCACTGGAACTCATGATCATGTTATCATGTATAAGAATAAAAGAAAGTCGTCAAGATCCTCCCTCTAGAGGATTTTCACTGCTTTCTCTGACATCGGCGACGACGGTGTATGTACTCTGAAATCTAAGAGTACCATAAGTCTCTTTCGCACTCATGTAAAAATTGTCAAAGAATTTGTTTTTACAATTTGACATGCTAGTTGCAACATCAAATTAGGTACTTACATTAATTACCGGTTCATCCGTGCTTTTCGTACGTGCTTTTCGTTCCACCGATCGCGCTTACCTCCGAATGGAGAACGTAATCGGCGGTAATCCCCACAATCGGCAAATTGTCGTCAGTAAATATGCTGAAAGATTGCGCGGGTTTTATTGAAATGAATGAATTTCCCTACAGAGAAATCGATCGCATTGAAAGCCGACTGCATGAAATCTGTGCGTGACCGTACATAGTGCATACAGAATACATTCTACTTTCTTATAAATAAAATTTCATGCACTTCTGCGGTAGGTACACAAAATTAAAATTCAGCTTAAGCTGATTGCCAAATTTATTAATAATATGCTACTGTATATGTACTATTTTATCGGTTCAAACACATCAGTGAAAACTGCTGACAATTAGGATGATACTTTAACATGTCAAACATGGTTAAGCTACTAAAACAAATCAGCACTGTACACCACAAGCGTCGGTTATGAGCAGCGCACGTCCTGAGTAAAGCCTTAGTTAGTCTACAAAGGTTGACGAAGGGCAGTTAGGGACGTTCACCGAGTGTTCCACCTGGTCAGAATTCATATCAGACTGTCCGGACGGTGGCGATTTGCAGTCGACCGGTAAGTACAGATTCTTCCGGAGATAAACAGGATTTTTAAACGACCCGTTCAGTGCGTACACATATCCCGCCGCAGTTTCGCTAAGGAGCTCCGTGTTATCCTGCTGCCAGCGTCGGTACCACGCGTACGAACAGTTACAGTGCAAGCTGATGATGTAGTCGTATGGTGGAGGATACAGCCATGCTTCGTACTCTAGTGAAAGCACTCGTAAATCAGGCAAATTGGTGAAGGCGTCCATTTCCACAGCACGAAGCGTCGACCGAGTATACATCCCACTTCCAAAAGTAAATATGCGCAATTTACGAAGAATTTGATATCGTTTTTCTTAATATCCAGATCGGTACAGTCAACAACGCTCAGTTGCAGCAAGTTAGCTAAACGCAGACCCGGCAGGCGGCCGAGCGAACGGGAATTCAGGCATTTTGAAAGCTCAAAGCAATGACTTGTTTTTCAATGGATTGAAAATTTTTTGGCGTTAGTATGGGTCCATCGGCCATGTGCATCTCAATTGGTCGCAGCGGAGGTTTGGACATGGACGTGGTCATTGTAGTAATCTCGTGGGTGCTTGGAGGTGTGGAGGTGCATATTATAAATAATCCTTTAAATTCTGTACAGGACCTATAAGCGTCCGGAGGTCGACAGTTAGCAGTAATCTGAGCCTTGCATTCGTCCTCCCGCATCGGAGCATCGGAAAACACCGGGAACGGCTCGCCAGCATCGACAATAACCGACGACGATGTTGATGTTGATGATGCGGATGATGAAGTAACCGTTCGTCTTCCATTAGAGACTTTTTCTAAATACAAACAGGGTAGTACTTCATGAAATTTCATTTAGAAAAATCTTACTAAATCTTTGCTACTCGTAATCAAAGCAGCCATGAGTTTTGAGATTTTATTTTTATGGGACAAGTTGTGCGGATCAATTAAAACATTTAGGTCACGAAATGGTTAACATTACTGCACGGTATCCCTGGCTGGTGTTTCGCTCAATTTCATTATTAAATTTCTCTTCGCACAATAATTCTCTTTCATTTGCAGTTACCGTCGGTTTCCGGAAATTGTGGAGTGTTAATAGTCTTCTTCAGTCCTTCTCAAAAAGATAAACAACTCATTCGGCAATAAATACGAATGCGTACCGGAGGTGCGCGTATGTAAAAACCGTACACACAGACGATACCTAAGAACGTATTAGCTGCTGCTACCGGGCATCGGAACCGTCGATGGATACGCGCCACATCCAACGGGCTTAAATTTTCGCTCTGACCAATTCTGGCCCGATTGACTTTTGGTACAATGGTGGGAATTCTACTGTCCTTGGCAAAGGCATTATATTTATAATGCATGATCGATTCATAGTCGTAAGGAAGACCGTATGTATTCCCGGACTGATGCATTGCGAACTGCTCTTTATCGCCTTGGGAAAAATGAGCGTCGTGCACTGTACGCGGAAGATCGTCGTAATGCTTTTAATAGAATCTATAACCTTACTCACAGGGATGTTATCCCAAATAATGATTACATGCTGGTCGCGATCCGCTCGAGAATGCTCATGGAAGAATCCCATGGTGTGCATCAGTTCGTGCTGCACATCTCCGTGATTCCTCAGACATCCCGTTGCAAACGTCACTGTCTGCTTTCCACCAGTTCGGCCAGTATTTGACATGCACCTGTGATAAAGAGAAACATAAAATTTTAAAGGGTTACTTGGCTCGGGATCAGCAGAGGATGACGGACTGAAGTCCCTTCTGAATATGTATGTAGTCTTCTTCTTCTGTCCGCGGTACAAACTGGACACAGTTTCCGGTCATGTAACTGATGATATCCATCGACTCCAACACAATTCGGATTTCTTGTGTTGCTAACGAATTCAGAGATGTACACTTATGGTTAGGGTTATCCATGCAATGCTAACAGTACAACAGATAACGTTCCTGGTGTTGTAAAATTGTTAAGGTAATGTTTTACTCAGTGTTGCAAATGGCTTCTTGGTAAATGTGTACGGGATGGTGTTATTAGGCCAAAAGGAACCAGCATTGTCAATGGCATTGGCTGCTCCATGTGACAACTGTAACCAGAAAAGGGAAAAGTTTTAATAACGCTGCAGGAGAATTTCGTTGAACTTAATTTCTGTCTAGACAGACACATTAGATTTTTTTTTTACAGCAATCACACATCGAGGAATTGAGAAATTAGTACTTACTTGCAACGATTCGAGGCCAGTAATGTCGCCTTCCAACAGGTCACTGTCGTAAAGACTAGCGTCGCTGCCTTTAGCCAGGATTTCGGGATCAATGAAATCTCGCCAGTCTACACAATATTGGTGTATCATGAACGTGGAAATAAGTCCGCAACGTTTGTTTCTGTAACTTACTTGTCGGTAGATTACTTGGAGATGCCAGCGTAAAAACATCGAGAGCGCTTAGGACGAAACAAACAACGAAATCAAACATATTAATTTTGTAGCCTGTATTGTACACATACAGCAAGAACTGAAGAACTACACCGATGCTACGTAATGATATGTAGCAATGGTGCAGCTTGAAAAACAGTTAACTTGAAAAAATTTTATGTAGGGCTATTTCCCGTTTGAAAGATAGCTTGGGTTTACCGAATGTCCGCTGGCAAAATGCTTATCGGTACCTGTCAACAACCGGTTTAAAAAAACAAAGTATTCTACTTGCTCGTGGCTATACCGCGCTTGATGTACCGTACCGTGGACGCCACAAATGTGGTTTAACACTGATAGCCGACAGCGCTCACAGTGCTTAGGACCATCGGCTATGGGTGTAACCACATTTATGGCGTCCACTGCACCTCTGTATTAGCGTTTTCAGCGGTATTTTGACAAAGAACGTTGCCCATATTCTCGGTATGGGTTTTCAGCCTCTGTGCAAGTTCGAGAAGGCTCGTTTACCAGCTTTATAAGTCACGCAAATAATCGAAGCTGGTCATACTCAGGATTTATCCTTCTATTAAATAGGAGTCGGTTGGTGCGTACGATAGGCCCTAAAATTTTTTATGTGATTAATGATTACCGCGATAATTTTCTTGTGTAGTAATTTTAATACAGAAATTTACATTCTGAAAGAACATTTCGACATTTTGGTACGTACTAATAACGCGTAATATTTGGCCGGGCGCTGGGCATTCATATACTGTATGGGCAACAACTTTTCGCCGGTTTCGGTAGGATGCAGTGCATTACACTCGTTAAAAATTATAAATCGTTCTCGGCCTGTTCGGCACGGGCAAAAGATTTCACCTACTTTAATCAGAAAACATTCGAGCAGCATAACTTGCAGGCTTACTGATAGCTAGAATTTATAAATTCTTCATGCGGAACGAGGAACTCTGCGATCAATATCTGATTAGCCGACGCTCGCAACGCCGCTGGCTTTAATGCGGTCGGGGGTTCCAACGCACGTACTACATGTACGAGGAGGATTATAGTTGAGTCGGTAGCGCATACATAGCTGCTGCGAGTTAAATTGAACACCATTTCCGTAAGCTACTGACGTAACAGTCAACCGTGGATGGTTGCATTTCTAACAACTGAGCAACAGTCATACGTGGGGGGTTGCACTGCTTACCTACTTACCCACCGCAGCTATTGGCTTGTGCAACCATCCATGGTTGGCAATTACGTCAAACACTTACGGACACAGTGTTCAGTTTAACTCGCAGCAGCTATGCGCTACCGACTCAACTATAATCCTCCTCATACACTTGTAAGTACATAGAACATCCTGCGCTAACCCTTAAAATATGATTGGTCCGCAATTCAGCCGGCTAAAAGGCTCAGAGTAGCTGCTGTCCATTAGCGTCGTTTAGCACTCCCTAGAAAACGGCAGTAGTACGTGGTACGTTCATTAATAATGCGGCCGCATTTCTAGTAAATCTAAAATTCAAGATTACAGTTTTATTGGAGCGCTGCTTAAATATTATATTTTGCTCGGATCTTTTTATTGCTTAACTTTCTTCTTATCATTATGGAGGAGATAACGGATTTCTCTTTTGACTCACTCTCGGAGGGTGATACCACGTTCCACTCGGCCAACGACGAGAGCTTCAGCGAACGCTCGATTACAGAACAACCACAACCAGGAATGCCAACGCCACCATCATTTGGGAGACTGCGGAGTCTGCAACGGGCCAGACGGTGTCCACGTTCTCCTTTATCGTTAACGTGGATGTGACCGCAGACACCACCACACACTGCAGACGGGAGCCCCTCGAACGTCCATTCTGGATCCAAACGGACAAGCACCGAGAAGTCATTCCAAGGAACACCCTGGCGGACCGACTACAGCCGGAACTCCTACTGCGCCAGCAGTGCCTGTTCACGAAACAGTGAACCCAGCGCAGCATCCGGCGGTCGGCCAGGGAGATTCGGGGGGAACTGAAAGGGGCGCCGTGGTGAGCGGCATTAAGACGGCACGGTTTAAAATCGGTAAGGAGCCTTGGTGCGACATTCTGGAAGCTGTAATTCTTAGCGGTTGCTATAATTTTCTTAACAAATTCCTAGTGGTAAGTAACCCTGAAAATCGTACGGCTGTGCAAAGCTGACTATTTTGGTTTTTAATGCCTCCTTTTTGGTAGGTGATACTGTCCACCTGCAAGACTAGAAGTATCTGCGGAACCCGTGCCACTTTGTCGGAAGAATTGACGGTGTAAAAACAGTGCGAAGGGCTCGACGGGCACATGTTTCTTTTCATTAATTTTTTGATTGCGCTGCTTCATGCGGCTTTTTCTGTATGATAAATCTGCTTGCATTGGGAAACCATTATTAGGATAAAAAAACGTCTAGTTTCCGATGGACATTAGAAAGGTAAAGCAATCCTTCCGAAAGGTTTTTTCATCGTGTCGAACGGTAGGCTACAAGAGATGTGAAATTTGTGAGGACAGAAAGTAAAGTTATACGTGCAGCGGTATGTCATACATTATTAATTTTTACTATGAATGTGAATATGTACAGATACTGTACATGCTCATACGGTCGTACCGGTGAAAAGAATCTGATAACGGCAAGGTGAGAATGTGTTGCCAGTTTGCAAGTCTGTTCACACAGCGGTTCATACATATACAACGCCGGAAGGTAAACATTGCTTAACCTGTGTGTGATGTACGAGTTTCTCGCCCCTGACAAAGTCAAAATCATAAGGCAGTCAGAACTGAATGCTGCAGGCGTGCAAGTGAACCATATAGATGTAGATATTCGTCCATATAATATCAGACACAAAATTATTTACCAAACGAGTATTCTGCATGTGTGATGAATGGTTCTCCGCTGTATTTCATTCTTTAAGTATCTTGAGTCGTAAATCCCCGGAATGGCCAGTATCACACCAATTGTTCAGATGGGTGCCAATTGCCAGTATGTCTATGGGAATTGGGATTACCTTAGGCAAGGAGCATTTTCTTCAATGTTCCTGACGGAAATTACACAGTGCGGCGATTATGCTGGACCAAGTACCGTGGCTGTCAAGAGAGCGGCAATACAATGGTTGAATATCCAGGAAAATATGGAAACGAAGCAAAGACTTCTCGAGAGATTTGGCTTGCTTTTAAGGCTTAAACATCCCCATCTCGCCGCGTACCATTCGATCACAATTTATTCTTCTTCTCATTTCGGAGAATTTGTTCAGTTGATGATGGATTATAACCCCGGTACGTCAAATATATTATTACAAAATTGGTATTTCGCTATGTTCTCTCTTACTGAACAGAAGCAAAAAAAAAATTAAAAAATTATACGCCACCGAGTGAAGTGCAATAAAATATAAAACGCGCCTACTGAGCTCTGCAAACAGTGCTGAAATAAAAAAGTATAAGCTTCGAGTTTTAGCGCATATTTGCAAATAAGCGGTTGTCTGTTCGAACCCCGCACCGATGGTCTATGCCCTTGGATATTCCTGTTGTATCCTGTTTTTATTAAAACTTAACTAAAAGCTCAAAAGTTTTTATTAAAGCTGAAATAAAATGATTGAAATACTATCTTAAATTATTAAGTTGATTTAAAATAAATCATATTGAATTATTGTTTAATTAAATTATTAATAGTTTTAACCACGGATCGGCTGGCCGATTTAGTCTTTACAATCGTTTTCACTGGCTACCGCCTTTTAGATGGCGATCTCGAGAACGCATTAAGCGTGTGATGCAGAGCACCGAAACGTTGATGAATCCCGTACTGGCTGCGCATTATGCTACGCAAATCGCCGACGGACTAGCGTTCCTGCATAGCAACGGTCTTGTACACGGCGACCTGAAACCAGCAAATATTGTTCTGCACGGTGCCGATCCTGATCCGAAGCAACTGCGGATTTCCGACTGGGACTGCCTTGATACTGTACTGCGCAGCGTCGTTCGCGGGCAGAAGGCCAACATCCTGGAGGATAGTGTACGCTACATATCGCCGGAAATGCTCAGGATCTTAGGATGCGCACCAGACAGGGTGTGGCAAGCGCTGCCCGGCCCATCCACGGATATCTGGAGTTTTGGCTGTATTATCGTTCAGTTCCTTCACTGCGTAACGGGTCAGTATACGGAGGTGTACTGCAACAGTCAGGGTGATATAATTACCGGCAACGATGGGAACAGCCGCTCAATTGTTGCCAACTGGAGTACCTGATTTTGCGTGACTATGCCCCGGTTGTTATTAACACGGCGCTAGTCGACATGGGGCTAACTGCTTGCGCGCGCCGGTGTTTGATGGTCTGCGCTGATGATCGGCCTTCGGCACAGCAGCTCTTCGATGAGCTGGTGATCATTACGGCGAACAACGCTGGTGCTGACCGCAGCCACAAATCAAGCGCCAGCGTGAGCACATTTCTTTGACGATCATAGAGCGAGCCTGATTTACAGTCGACTAGAACCATCAGAGAACGATGGCAACTTCGTGCCGCTGGGTAGTCCGCCGGGCAAAATTAATTATGGCTATTTTGCACTACAACGGTCTCGTTCAGGGCCATCTGCCACCACGCAACATCGCCGCCGAGCAAGGCGAAGTGCATCTGATGGCGTTACTCATCCGTGTAATGCCTCCAAGCGACGCTAAGCACCGGGCGCGGCGCGCGGACACAGTGAAAATACGTTACCACATGTGCAGGACATATTCGCACGTTCCCCGCATGCAGTAGATTGTTCGGGTTGTGAACCGACATTTGGTGCTTCCGTTGTGTCGTGGTGGATTTGATTCGCAGCAGCACTAACCGAGTAAGTGAAGTGCTGCACTGTGCAGGCACGTCTCGTACAACTGCTGCGGAACAGCTCCGAACAAGGAACGTGCGGTTTTCGACGTTTTTTTTTCTGACCAGTCACCAACAGTGCAGTGAAAAATAAAGAATACAACAAACGAAAGCAGACACACGTAAAACTTCTGAGTACCGGTTAAATTGGCGTGCCAAGAGCAGAAAAAGCAGTTATCAGAGCCAGGCAGGGTGTAAAACCTGGCAGTGGCACCTGCCAATGGCACTGCCAGTGGCATGGCATGCGATAAAAACTGGAGACTCTGGCAACTGGCAAGCGATAAAAGCTGGCAGATGCCACAAACAATATAGTGGTGGGTACA